CCCCCCCCCCCCCCCCCCCGCGGCTACATGCCTGAGTGGTTCCCCGATGCATGGTAAGAAAACTTTTCCTCTGGGTGGATCTTTGTCTTTAGGTAAAGGTAAAGGTTTTCCCCTGACATTAAGTCTGGGGGTTGGTGCCGAAGAGCCGTCTTTGTCCATAGGCACCTCCAAGGTCATGTGGCTGGCATGGAGAGTAAAGACAAAGATCCAAGCTACAACTCCAGGGTAAGGTAAAGGTTTTCCCCTGACATTAAGTCCAGTGTCTGACTCTGGGGTTTGGTGCCCCCCTCCATTTCTAAGCCGAATTGCGGGCGTTGCCCGTAGACACCTCCAAGGTCATGTGGCCAGCATGACTGCATGGAGCGCCGTTACCTTCCCGGCAGAGTGGTGCCTATTGATCTACTCACATTTGCGTGTTTTTTCGAACTGCTAGGTTGGCAGAAGCTGGGGCTAACAGCGTGAGCTCACCCCACTCTCCGGATTCGGATTTTGTCTTTACCTTCCAAGAAGAAGCCAGGAGAGTAAAGACAAAGATCCATGCTACAACTCCAAGGATTTCGAACTGCTAGGTTGGCAGAAGCTGGGGCTAACAGCGTGAGCTCACCCCACTCCCCGGATTCGGATCTTTGTCTTTACCTTCCAAGAACAAACCAGGAGAGTAAAGACAAAGATTCATGCTACAACTCCAAGGATTCTATAGAAATGAGCCGTGGCACTTCAAGCGGTGTCAAACTGCGTTAATTCTACAGTGTAGAGGCAGCAATCGGAGGGGGTGTGTTGAGCGTGTGATGGTGCTGAGCTTTTCTTTCTCCAGAAAAAAAAAAACCCGCATTCGTCCTTCCAGGGGGGTGGACCTTGAAGCGCCCACCCTTTCTCTCCATGCAGACTTTTCCTCTTGGCAGATTTGCCGCTCTTCCCCCTCCCTCTCCCTTCGCAGCGCTCTCCTCCTCCCTCCCTCCCTCGGTTTAGCGATTTGGTCCGCGTGGGCCACCGTAGCCGCGTCGGACTCTGGCTGGCTGGGAGCTGTCAGGGTGAATCCCGCAGCCAGACGCCGAGAGACGACGGGAGGGGAAGCACGGAGCGGGAGAGAAGAAGGGAGTCCCGAGCCTGCAAGGAAGGAAAGCGAGAAGGAAGGAGAGGAGGCGGAGGAAGGGCTGGAATGGACCGCTCCCTCCCTCTGCATTTTTGAAATCCCTGACAGACTGCTTCTCCGAGTGGTTTGAAGGCTTCTCTCTCTCTCTCTCTCTCTCTCCGCACCGCCTCCTCTCCCTATCGCTCCCCGAAGCAGCTCTCTACGATTGGATTGGGAAGCCTTTTCAGAGGAGGAAGGCCGGGCTGCAGGGATGGACACCCAGGAGGGGAAAGCCTCTCTCCCTTCCTCCCTCTCCCGCCCTTAAAGCCAGGCTGCCTCTTCGCCCAGGTAACAAAGGTTTGGGATTCATTCCTGCCTGTCTCTTTAAATCAGGCATGGGCCAACTTAAGCCCTCCTTCCACGTGTTTGGACTTCAACTCCCATCATTCCTAACAGCCTCAGGCCCCTTCCTTTGGGAAAAGGAAAGGGCCTGAGGCTGTTAGGAATGGTGGGAATTCAAGTCCAAAACACCTGGAAGGAGGGCCCAAGTTGGCCCATGCCTGCTTTGAATGGAAATCTATAGATAAAAATAAGAAAATGTGCCTTCCTTCTGACGCTCTAAATTATATATATATATATGTGTGTGTGTGTGTGTGTGTGAGTGAGTAGGGACAGAAATAAGGCATAGTATATATGTGTGTGTGTATATAATACCTTGTTTCTGTACCTATATATATATATATATATATATATTCCTTCTGTCCGTTTAAACACACACACACACATATATAGGGACAGAAACAAGGCATCATATACACATTACATATATATATATATATACACACACACACATATATATGATTGTGTATCTATATATTACTTACTTAGGCGATCCCTCGTAGTCCAAGGATGATGGTCCTCCAACTTCGGTGTCCTGGCGGTGGGTTCGTAGGTGACTGTGGAGCCCTATTCTCTCTCTCTCTCTCTATATATATATATATATATACACACACACACGCACTATGTATATATGTGTATATATATGTATAATATGCCTTTTTTCGTCCCTGTATATGTCTTCATTCTGTTTCTTTAGATGTCAATCTAACATATATGTGTGTTCTTTTGTCCCTATATATATATATGTATATATATAGTGTATATCCACATATACACTGTGCCTTACTTCTGTGCCTTTAAGTTTCATATATATGTGTGTGTGTGTTTATAATGCCTTCATTCTGTTCCTTTAAGATATATATCTATCTATATCTATATATATATATCTAGCCTTTTTCTGTCCCATATATATATATATATATATATATATATATATATATAAGCCCCCCCCCCCCCCGCACAGCGTTAAACTGCTGAGCTGCTACTTGCTGACTGAAAAGGTGGTGGTTTGAATCCGGGGAGTGGGGTGAACTCCCGCTGTTAGCCCCAGCTTCTGCCAACCTAGCAGTTCAAAAACATGCAAATGTGAGTAGATCAATAGTAGATCAATGCTGGCCACATGACTTTGGAGGTGTCTACAGACAATGCCGGGTCTACGGAGAATGCCAGTTCTTCAACTTAGAAATGGAGGTGAGCACCACCCCAGAGTCAGACACAATTAGACTTAATGTCAGGGGGAACCTTTACTTTTTATAAATATACCCACTATGTCTCCCTTCTGTCCCTACACACACACACACACACACACACACACACACACACACACACACACACACATATTCTTTCTGTCCCTTTAAATTAAAACACAGGTGCGCACACTATTTTAAAGGGACAAAAAGAAGGCAAACGCATATATATAGTTTTCTGGTAGACTCTTCAGCTTTCTCCTCCTTATGCTTAAGGTTGGTTTATTCTTCCGCTGTGCTGCTTACTTGCAATTCTTGCCTTTGTGGGTAGGAGGAGTCAAAGGCACTGTGAATGTCTTCCAGGGAATTTGGAAGGTATTTGCTGAGCTTTTCTACCTTTACTGAGCTTTGTCACCAAAAGAATAAGAGGGTTTGAGGCCTGAGGCTTCTGCTTCTCTTGGCACCTGGTGATTTTCCCCTCCATCAAGAAGGGATAAGGGTAGGCGGGGTGTGCGTGTGTATGCAAAAAAGTGTATATACGCTGAAGGTTGAAATAGAAAACCTGCATGAAAATGCTGCTGTCTTCATCTGGCTGCCAGACTTTGATTGTAGGGCTGGCTTCTGTTTTCTGTCATTGTCAGTTTAAAGACTGCAGCAAGGTGTGCATGCATTGTTACTTCAGACCACAATGCAGAATTATAACAGTTTGACATGACTTTTAACTGCCATGGCTCGTGCAGTAGAATTCTGGGATTTGTAGTTTGCTGTACTACAGCTAATAGGGTAGACTCTCCCTTGACTGGTGTCCATGTGGATTGGTAAATGTTGAATGCATGTAGTTTCTGGTTGCTTGAGAGTTACTATTAAAAATAAGCTTGATTCTCTAATCAAACCATACCATACTCCCTATTGATTGGATATTGAAATACAGTAACAAAAAGCAAATGAAAACATATGGCAGTAACCTTAACTTAATGTAACACAGTTTTATTGTATTATTAAAACAATTTTGTGAATGAAGTATTATTTCTTTGATTTTTTGCCAGTTGCTTGAAAGTTCCAATTGTTTGAGTTATGGTTAATTGAGAGTTTACTATAATAATACATTTTCATAGAATCACAGAGTTGCAAGAGACCGCAAAGACCATCTTCTAGTCCAGTGTTTCCCAACCTGGGGGTCGAGATCCGGGGGGGGGGGGGCTAGGGGGGTGTCAGAGGGGTCGCCAAAGACCATCAGAAAACACAGTGTTTTCTGTTGGCCATGGGGGATCTATGTGGGAAGTTTGGACCAATTCTATTGTTAGTTGGGTTCTGAATGCACTTTGATTGTAGGTGAACTATAAATCCCAGGAACTACAACTCCCAAATGTCAAGGTCTATTTTCCCTGAACTCCTCCAGTATTCACATTTGGGCATATTAAGTATTCGTGCCAAGTTTGGTCCATATCCATCATTGTTTGAGTCCACAATGCTGTCTGGATGTAGGTGAACTAGAACTCAAAAACTCAAGGTCAATGCCCACCAAACCCTTCCGGTATTTTCTGTTGGTCATGGGAGTTCTGTCTGCCAAGTTTGGTTCATTTCCATCATTGGTGGAGTTCAGAATGCTCTTTGATTGTAGGTGAACTATAAATCCCAGCAACTGAAACTCCCAAATGACAAAATAAATCCCCCCCAACCCCACCAGTATTCAAATTTTGGCATATTGGGTATTTGTGCCAAATTTGGTCCAGTGAATGAAAATACAGCCTGCATATCAGATATTTACATTAGGATTCATAACAGTAGCAGAATTACAGTTATGAAGTAGCAATGGAAATAATTTTATGGTTGGGGGTCACCACAGCACGAGGAACTGTATTATGGGATCACGGCATTAGGAAGGTTGAGGAATACTGTTCTAGTCCAACCCCATTCTGCCATGCAGGAACACACAGTCAATACATAGATAAAAACGTAAGACCATATACATGGATAAAATCTTAAGACCGTTACAACATATTAAACGTATTAGAAAACATAGATGTAAGATTAAAGCACATTAAAGTAATTCATACCAATAAAATGCTAATTTAAAATTAATGGTTTAAAATTGACTGGGGGAGCCTGTCAGAAGAGATAGGTCTTTAATTGTATTTTAAATTCTGATAGCTCATTTAGCTGTCAAATCCCTTCTGGCAGGTCATCCCCATTTAGGGGTGGCTGATGAAAAGATCCTCTAGGGGTGATCAGTCGTGTTCTGAGTGGTTGAAATAAATCTTCCCCATAGGATCTGGATCTATGGGGCAGATTGTACAGAAGAAGTCAATGCTGTAAGTAACCTTGACCCAAACTATATAGGATTTGAATGGTCATAACCAACTCTTTGCACTTTGCTAGGAGGCTAAGTAAATATGATATCTCACAAAACAGCAAATTCCAGAATTGTGCCATGGCAGTCAAAGTGGTATCAAACTCCCACAATTTACTGTGATTACATCCAACGTGTCTTCTAGGAATGTGGGCAATCTCTTGAACTTTGGTCTGGATTCTACTCTGCTATTCTTTTGTATCAACTAATCTCTTTTATGTTATTTCCCATACCAAGTACCAAGGTTTGATTCAGGCTGAGTTCAGCGTTCACATTTCAAATCCTGACCGTCACTGTCCCTTGGCTGTAAATCTTCCTCCTTCTTTAAATGGGGGGGGGGGGTCATTCCCACAAACCCTGGTGAAATTCCATGGGTTCCTGTGGTTCTTCCTTAACTTAAGAAGCATTTGAAGATGTATTATTGACTTACGTTGGTATTTTCTCTCTCCCAAAGGTCTTTATTGATCCGGGCCTTTTGAATGGACAGAGGAAGAATCTGGAATTGTAATAATTGAATGCTGTAAAACAACTGTGCCCTGAAGCAAGAGCCCTAGAATGAAGTGAAAGAAGAGTGACTGGAATCAGGATTTGTGTGAGAGAAATGTGAAACACCAAGGCTAGCCACTTCAATTTAACTTGTGTGTTTGCTGCTCACTTGAGTGGCTCAGCGAGTGGATAGTGTTTGAGAGAGGCAGTGTTCTCTCCTCACAGAGATTATGATGTCGGTGGAAACATCAACGATTACAAGCAGGATAAAGAACCTACTTCGATCTCCCTCTATCAAACTGCGCAGGAGCAAGCCGGGGAACAAGCGGGAAGACATCAGTTCAAAAGTAAGTGCGCAAGTGCTCAAGTTTTTTTTGTAGCTCACAAAAAACTTCCAAAAAACCCCCTAAATTTTGCATAAGGAACTTTCGTGCTATGCTATAAGAGGGCTATCATTCCACTCTGCCATGGTTCCATCTAATGCGATCATGGGATTGACCTCTCCGAACGCATCTCCTCCTATGAACCGGCTAGGACACTAAGATCATCCGGGGAGGCCCTGCTCTCTGTCCCGCCTGCATCACAGGCGCGCTTGGCGGGGACGAGAGACAGGGCCTTCTCAGTGGTGGCCCCTCGGCTGTGGAACGCCCTGCCTGCAGATATCAGATCGGCCCCCTCTCTGCTGGCGTTTCGGAGGAAAGTGAAGACCTGGCTGTTCGAACAAGCATTTGATTAAACAGTGTAATTGAACATAGGAATACGGACTAATGGATGATGAGACTGGATTCTGATTTTACTGTTGAGGCGCTAATGATTGATATATGGATGTTTAATTATTTCTGTTACAATTGTTTTTAATTGCCTTATACTTGTCTCGTGATGTTTTGTATTGATGTTGTTCACCGCTTTGAGTCGCCTGAGGGCTGAGAAAAGCGGTATATAAATAAAGTAAATAATAATAAAATAATTGTTTAGGAAGGGGCCACCAGACTTCAAAGCCCAGAGATCTCCTCCTAGTCCCTCACTAAAATACGGATTCAAAGATTGCAAAGGATGTAACCAGGGCAGTCAAATTAGAATCAAGTGGTATACAGCTATCCCTCCACATTTTCTAGGGTTAGGAGCACAAGAGCCCCACAAAAGGGGGCGAGGTTTAGAACAAAGAACACTATTTTTTAAACAAGAGAGAACACCTCTCTAGGTCCTCCAGTGCGACTTTGTGGTTAACTTCTGGTAGAATCATTCTGTAGCAACTAAAAATGCTTCAAGAAGTTCTCTCTAGAAATCTGACTGTATTTAGTTTCCAGTGGAGGTTGGCCATAAAGTCACTCTGGAGAACTTAGAGATTCCTAGAGAAACCATACTAATCAAATCTGCAAATGTGGAGGACCAACTGTAAGCGTGTCAAGGGAAAGAGCCCTAAGATGGGGGTGGGGGGTGGGTGGGAATTGTGTGACTTTCTTGGTATTGAATTGTTTCTCCCAGCATTCCTCACTGTTGGATGAAGATTGCAGTCCAAAAAGATCAGGAGGACTTCATTATTCTCATCCCTGGTTTTGGTTTTTGTTTGCCTTGGGAGACATGACTTTAATGCTGTTGCCTTCAGAACATTGATTGAAACTGTATGTAACCCTGCTTGAAAGAAAATACTGTTGCTTGTTTGAGCATGTCTAAAGAAGTGATGTTCAACCTTGGGCCCTCAGCTCCCAGAATTTCTGACCATTGGACAAGCTGGCTTGGGCATCAGGGAACTTGAGTCCCAAACACCAGGATGACCAAAGGTTGGACTCCACTGATCTAAATCATTGGTGGGGACTGTATTCTAGATTAAGCTTTCGGTTCACTACTGCTTCCAAATTCCGTCACCATTGCGCAAGCTGGTTTTTTGCTGCAGCTGGGAATTAGAACCTACCAATATTTAGAGGGCCAAAGTTTGCCCAGCTTTGCACTAAAAGTTGTATCTTCCAGACAATACTCCATGGAATGCTGGGTGCATTGTTTTTCAGAAAGTGGAAGTGAAGATATTGGGTGAAACTCCTCACTTGTTTTCCATGGTAGTATTATTTATATTATTTATTTATTTATTTATTTATTTACTTTGCTTATATACCGCTGTATCTCAAGCCCGAAGGCGACTCACAGCGGTTCACAAACAGTAGAAACAGTAGAAACAGCAGTGGTTCCATACAACATATAACAATTGACTTAACACATTATCCATAAATTACCAATAAGCAATTACAATGCACAATTATTACAAAAAACAACCGTACCCAATCTTCTCATCATCCAAGCGTAGTCCAGATTCGTCGTCCATTGTTCCATTCCTATGTTCCATTACCAGATTGTACTAAATTACTCAAACTCCTGCACAAACATCCAGGTCTTCACCTTTTTGCGGAATACCATTAGAGATGGTGCTAGTCTAATGTCCGTAGGAAGGGCGTTCCACAGCCGAGGAGCCACCACCGAGAAGGCCCTATCTCTCGTCCCCGCCAGCCGATCTTGAGAAGCAGGCGGGATCGAGAGCAGGGTCTCCCCGGAAGATCTCAAAGTCCTGGTGGGTTCATAGGCAGAGATGCGGTCAGATAGGTAGCTTGGGCCGGAACCGTTTAGGGCTTTAAAGGCCAACGCCAGCACTTTATTTATTTATTTAATTTATTACCTGCCTCTCCTGATGGCTTGAGGCGAGGTACAACAAATTCGAAAACAAATTAATATTAAAATACAAAAAAGTACTAAATTTCATAGATAAACACGCTCACCCACACAGAGATATGAAAACTTACATTAAATACAGCCTCATAATTGACATATAGTGGTAACTGAATGCAAATCAAAACTCATGATTGAAAGTTGACTGTGTAGGCCTTGTTAGATCCTATAGAAATCAAGTGAGAAATCAGGCTACTTTCCTTTCCTAGGCATTTCTCATGCCTTTTGGATTATCTCTTAAGAACAACAGTGTGTGATAACCTCCTGCTTTTCAAGTGAATAGATGCATCCTTTGTTATTACAACTTGTTGTGGTTATATGGCTAGATCAGGTCAATTAGTAGGATAAAAAGTATCAAGGTGCTAAGACTGTGGTTGCATGCATTTTCTCTTGATTTTTTAATGGCCAAGTTTTCCCCCTTTGACATCATCCTGAGTTTGCTGTCCTCAGTTTAATGCCTGACCAAATAAAACAAAACAAAACCCCTCAACAACCATGAGTGTGTTTTCCCTAGCAGGGTAAATGTGTTTAATTTGTGTAGTCAATTAAAGAGAACAACCAGCTTTGCCATACTTTGTGGTGATTAGAGTAGGGAGTTAGGAATTCAAATTCCTGGGTATAGTGCCACTGCCTAATTGCATTCCAATGGCAAAACACATACATACAGAAGTAGTGCCTCTGTTTCTGCATCTGTAAAATCATGATAATTGTATGTAATTGCAAGTTATGATTAGTAATGCCTGAGTAAAATGCCTTGTGCTGTCTAAGAAGACTAACATGTAATACAAGACATGGCTTGTATTTAAATAGTTTTGCATGTGGTCATACACATATTTACTCAGAAAAGAAAAGCCCATTGGATGGAATGGGACTTATTTATGAATGAGAGTGGTGTGATTGTAGCTCTAAAGCCCTGCAAGAAGCTCAATTCCTATAAATGGTAGATTTTTTTTGTATTTCAGGTGCCACTTTAATGTTAGAATCATTGTCACACACTTCTCCTTGCTTGCAAAAAAGCTACTGATCAGGGAAATTATAATTAAGGCTGCATACTCTGGAGTGGGCAAGATGGTAGAAGTTAATAGTAAGGAAGAACATGAAAGCTAACATAAGCTTGTATCAGTGTGTTTTTGCTGATCCTACTGGGAAGGGAAAAATACCATCCTTCCTCTCCCCCTTGATGAGTTAATTGAGCACAAACTACTTTTGCACTTTGAACTCAGTTTGCACCAATGAAAGGAGAAAGATCTGGGTCATTTCAAAAGTCCCTGCCAAACTGGGACAGTTATAGTATATGGTATGGTACATTATGTATTAAAGAATGTACCACAATGGAAGAGTTACGGACTTTCAGGTACAATTTAAAAGAACACCTGTTTAGAGCTGAATCATCTAGAGAATAAATTGAGTTCCTCAAAAGAATTGCAGGTGAACAGATGGGTTGTATTTTTTCCCATACCTTTTGAAGGGAGCTTTGTTTGTGTGTAGCTTAGTCATCTTGGCATCTGGATTTGGATGTACTGTGGTAAGACGTGTAACTGTAATGCATTACATTTGATGTCATTGATGTAGACGACAGTTCTTCAGGCCCTCTTCCTGGCACAAATGATTTATGTTTCATGAGAGGTTCAGTTTCAAGAATCTGTGTTCTGTAGAGATTAAAAGTAGTCAGCTTCAGCTTAGGTATTCTAGAGCATCAACAGGATTCACATCATTGATTCCTGTTTTGGAAAGTAAGGGCGATATGCATTCAATAAACAAATAAATTACTAGTGCATGAGGCATGCATGTTTCTAATGTGTTCTGTAAAATCCCTATATCTTGTGCTACCTTTCAATTTGATGTCTGTTTTGTTCTTTTCCAGATTGATCTAAAGAAGTGTGAGTTTTCACAGTATAGCTTGTTGGGTTTTGTGAGAGGTTTTTTTTTTTTTAAAAAAAAAATCTGTTCTGTGGATGTTTGTAGCACTTTCTTGGATCTTTGTAGCACTTTCTTGGTGTTTGTAGCACTTTCTTGGATCTTCATTCTTCCAAAGGTATTTTAAAACTGGATCAGTTTTATTGAGGTGATTTGAAGGACAAAGTGTCTCTTAATTTAAAAAAATAGATGCAAAAGTAGAAAGAGGAGTGGGGGAAGAGTACTTTGTTGTTTGAGATTTCTCAAAATAAACTCATTTGAGGCAGAGTGTTACATCTGATATTGGCAATTATTCAGAAATAGTCCTGTGAAGTTGACTGGATACTCACACTTTGATTGCCGGACCCCTCTGATTAACTCCGGGATTATCCTTTCATATTATGCAGTTGTCTGCAAAACAAGTAACCAGTACTGTTCTGGAGACTTTATTGCACAGAGGTGACAAACCAGCACAGCGACAGTCCCCATTGCATGCCATTATGTACTATGCATTATCAGTCTGCTACCTCCATATGATAAATCCATTAGGGTCTGTCAGTAGCCTATGATCACTCTATTGTCCCTTGTACTGTGAGCCTGGTGCTCCTGTGGTGACATTTGAGGCGCTCCCTTTACTATATATTTGTTTCTTTTTTGCCTGTTTTTGGAGTTTAAGGCCAGGTAGCAAAGGATATATGAGAAGTTTTTTCATATATAAAAATGTATGGCAGAATCC